AACAATACACGTTGTGCTATTACAAAACATCTATGGGGCATTACAAAGTTAGGTGGGACTTTATAGATATTTATGGAAAAGACATATTTGAGATGTGGCTTCTGCTCCATAACCCTTAGAAATCCAGTTATGCTTCTCTTCTGCTTAAAAATCGTATTTGCTCTGCCATTTGACTCTAAGAGTTCAGCAAGTGCTGCACCCTGCCCAGTTCCTCTATGCCTATGTGTACAGTGCTGGGAAGCTGCATTATTCTGGGGCACAAGAGTGTCTCGGGGCCACAGTTTCTTCGTTAAATCCCTGAGGCAGAGATGGAGCACATCAGACACATGGTCCTACATTTTACACCATGCCAGAAGCCTGTGGGCCTTTTCTCTTGCTCTAATTCACTTCTTAAAGAACACACAAAGAAAGCCCCTGTCTCTCCCAGATGTCTTTTGCAGTGATTCCCAGTCCTTCTCTACTGTAAGTCCTGGAAGAAGAATGCTCCCTTGCTCAGCTTGTGTCCCATCCTTCTGTAGCTGCCCTCAGGCAGACGAGCCCTTTATTGTTTGATTCAGTTTGGCAGCTGGATTTAAATAATCTTCACAAATCTGTGCTAAATCTAATCTAGTTTGACTTCACTCCTCTTGAACCCCACATGTATTTTGCAAATAAGACTCCTGCTTTATAAGCTACGTAAGTTGTATTTAATACAAATAAAACAATAAACTGATAAATCTTCTCACTGAGGGCAGATGACAGCTGGATGAATGAAAAGGGTACTCAGCAGGAAGGATGCACAGAAACCAACAAGCAAGGGAGCTAGGGACCACAGAACCCCTGATACGTGCAATATAGGGGATATTAAAAAATGGGGAGGAAGCAATAAGCAATGAACATCCTGGGACACTATGTCTTTTAACCCTCTGCCGCTCTTTCTGGCTGCGTTAGCTGACTTCTGTGGGATGACTTGGTAGGCATTTAAGGAAATGAACTACAGTTTTGTCATGTGTAGCACAGTAATCGACAGCATCAAATGAACTCAGCATCAGGCTGCGATCACCCAATTACAATGGTAGGAGAAATTAAACATTAATTAGAGGGAGAATATGAACTCTTTCTGCCTGAGATGTGTCTCTTCTCCCAGCTGACAAAAGCTTATTAAAAGCCAAGTTGGTAGGAAAGCTGAAGGGACAAAAGGAACATTCTCCACTGTGTGCCAACCCAGCTGAGGGAAGACTTGAGTTTGAGACTGACTTTTAAAGAACAGCAAAAGGTTAATGATTTTTTTTATCCCAGGCACCATTAATGCATCTGAAGGTCTCTCCAACTAGACCACAGACAGCACTTTTGCTCTTATTTAATTATGAGATCAGGTAAATAATATATGTAAGGGAGAAAGAATCAAAGGAAAAAAAAAAAAAAGATTTTTTTCAGCTGCCAGAAACAAAACAATCTTCCACTACAGTAGTCTTTCTACTGGCTATGCAGCTACCTGTTAGTATTCCATGGTAAAACTTCTCCACAATTTTGCTCCAATTGATTGATATTTGATATAAACCAGACTGCAATTTGCATTAAGGAAAGAAGCTTGACTCTTTGAGGCAGAACAAACTCTCATCTCCCTCTGAGCCTGTGAAAGAGCTTGACATGCAAAACTGCTGAAGGTAGGTCCCTTGTATTACTTGGAAATTGCTGTCCTGCATCCTCTATTCTCTGATACATTGGGAAAGGGCCAGGAGAAATACCAGAGTTTCAGTCCTGACTCAGTTCTGTACTCTGTGATTTGAATCCATCCCACCTTTCATGATAGAACTACAGAATATGAAATATGATATTGCAAACAAAGTCTAGAACAATTAGTTACATTTGGCAAATAAAGCATGTTTGCATATACACTTTCCTTAAAAACTGCCTTTCCTTTTGTATGTATGCTTGCCTTTTTTCTATACTAAACAGTTAAAGAAACTCAAACTACTGAACAAAAACCTGTGAACATTTTGGACAGTAAACTCTTTTTCCCATCGTATGTCTATACAATGCTTGAAACAGACTAGTCCTCATTTTTGAACAGAACCATCTTGGAATTCTTGTTATTTAGAAAACCAATATTTTTCTACTTCATTTCACCTAATTTCATTAATTTAAAAATAAAAATGTTCTTTAATTTACCTGATTCTCTTGTAAAAAATAAGGAAGGAATGTGGCAATAGTTTTCTATAAAATACCAGTATGGTAAAAGTGCATTATTGAGGAAATCACCTTACAAGTGAGCTACAATTACAGATCAATACATTACACAATGTCCACCTCGGAGTACTCAAAATTTCAGATGTCTCTTTGAGTCTTATTTAAGCCTTTTGAATCTAAGCAACTACATAATTTCAAATAGTAGCTGCACTATGAGAAATGAGAGAGGAAGATATCAATATGGACTGAAAAATCATAGACTTTCCAATAAAAACATTCTTTTTGGTCAACATTATTTGCTAAATTCAACCTAAACATATTAATCATTTTGCTCACCCCACAACTACATTTTTCGGTTAATATATTAATTATCCCTCCAATTTTTCTCAGCTTTTCTTACAGGCTCTGTCTCTCTGCTTTCCTTTAATAGATAATGGCATATTTTTCTCCCATATTTAGAAATACAACCTCTCTTAAAATGATGCTTCTATGAAAAACCTCACTTTGAGATGCTGTGACAGTTGATGGACTTGAAAACTCTGACCAAGAAAGACAGGATGTGACAGCTGCATAATCCCTGAAGATGTTTTAAGGGGCATCCAATAGATAATGCATGTCTCTTATCACACAGATGTAATGCTACAGCTAGAGGGAACAATGAACTGTACATATGAGAAACTGTGGGCCGGTCAAATCAAGGAGAGTAAAGAGAAAAAATATCAAAGGAGAAAATTTGAGCTGATCACTCTTCTTTTGTTTCTTACAGAACTCAGAGGAAGGAATATGTGCACTCTGCATTTCCCCACCCCATCCTTTTCCAGGCTTTACCTATAAGCAAGAGAAGCTTAGAAGGCATCAGTGTCACTCTACTAAACTGCTCACTTTTGCACTCAGAAGATCTAAATCTTAGAGAGCAGTCTTGATGAAGGGCTGCCTGTGAATGCTATGGAAGAAGCTTCACTGGTCAGTTTAAGTGCAGGATCATTTGTGCACAGATTTAAATGGGTAGTTACTTTAGCTTCAGGGAAGCAGAACCTAGCCCGGAAACCTCACAGTGCAATACATTAGATAAATATTATTAATTACGGTTGAATTAAATGCAAACCATATATTTTAACATTTTATGATGAAGGGTATTTCCTACAATGTCAATAAAGGTTAAAAAGAAACGGCCTGGTTGGTTTGTTAAACCATGTGAGTTAATTTCCAGTTGCTGCTTATTTTAAGAAAGTAAGAAAGAATCTGCAGCATCATAAAAATACACATATTTTCTTCTCATAAAAAAGGGGAAAAGAAAAAATGTGAAAGAACTTAGAGCTAGGGTATTTGGTTTCAGAATCAGTTGAATATTTCATTTTGTCTGTAGCACTAATTATATACTTGATTATTATATAAACACTGTTTCATATTAGTTCTATGGCCAAACTTCTAAATTTAGGATTAATCTTTTTTTTTTTTCATGACGCAGTTTCAGTAATAAACATTATGATCAACTCTAGGTGTATGTTACAGTATTAAAATGCCTCCTTTTTAAGCACTTGGTGGAATCATGGTTATTGCTCTGCTGTGACTTAGCTAGTTTGCCTGTAAAAATGAAGATTTATTTTTATGTGGCTTGAACTGAAATGACTGATTTTTGATGTGTGCTCACCCTTAACTATTAACATTGTGTGCAATGGCAGTTTAAATGTTTTATTTTCAAATAAACAGGCAAATGGACTGTTATTTCTATAAATACTAACAGGATCATGCCCAAGCACTGGGATTTTTTAGCCTCGAGCAAGAGGAAACCACACATTTTCTGTTTATTTTTGTGGGTTTTACTATTTTAAGTAACATCAAGACCTGGACTGAAGATATTCTGACATTTCTGGTTACTTTGAAGGAAAAAAGTCCCAATAGTTTCTCAGCAAGTTAGGTCAACTTATGCTAAGTCATTGAGTGATAAAAAAGTATTTTCTGTGACAACAATATACGCAATGTCCTCCTGGATGTCCATCACCAAGTCTCTTGCAATGGAGCTCAAAGAAATAACATAGGAAGGTGGGAAAATGGCTAATGGAAGGCCTGGTGTTACTAACATGTATCCAAATCTACTCATGTGCGTAGTGCCATTAAGTGTGATTCTGCAAGCTGTCGTGTCTCCTTAACTGAGAACAGATTTTGACAGTGATATCAGATGCTCTCTTTTGTTCTCTCTTCCCCTGACCTCAGTTTTAACACATTTAATGGAGGACAAAATACCAAGGTTCTTGTGCTGTACAGTTTAGACCTGTGCACTAGTAAATGTTGTTTTGGTTTTCCTTTATAGGCTGGCTACTTATGTTTTGGAGGGGCAGAAATGGACAACTGTCTGGGGTTTTTTTTTGAGCAAAACCTCAGCATCTTTTACTTGGCTTCATGTAGCAATAACCAGTTGATTATCTGCAGGTAACAAAGTACTACTTGAGAATTTTAACTTGCTTTTTGAATAGACAAATTCAGACACCATTAGATGACTGAAGTTTTACAAGGATATCAGACTGTCCTTTGAAATGGAAGGCCTTTTGCAGCCCAAAGGTGTTCCTCTCAATCTCTGGTCAGTTTGAAACAGTTTGACCTCTGTATCTCGTTTCTTTGCAGTAATAAAAGCCTCTATTAAATAGAGAGAAAAATAATTGAAATAGGTAAATACAGAAAAATTAAGGAAGGAGAAAGCTAATGAACTCAATTGCAATCATTATGCCAGTATTGCTTTAACTTAAAAGTATTGATTAAATAACTGAATATTTACATCTTGTACTGGAACCGCTGAAGGCAAATGATGCATTGCAAAGCAAACAGAAGCTGACCTTTGCACGTTTTCCCATCAGGCTGCAGGGTAAATCCAACTGGGCAACTGCATCGTACCCCTGTCGCGGTGTCCTTGCAAGTCCGATCACAGCCTCCATTATTGACAGCACATGTTTCTGCAGAATGAAAGAGAAAGAGAGAGAGAGGGAGGGAGAAAGGGAGTGTAATGAACTGTTCTGGGGGAGGGGAGAGGCACCGACTCTTTGGGGCAGTATTACAACATTATGAAAGCAATCTAAGTTTAAGCAAGCCAACTCAAGCAAGCTCTCAAGGTCATCAGGGCCCATGTACTGGTTTTGACTGGTAAATAATTTCCACAAGTCACGATTTCTTTCTCCCCCCAAACTCTTGTTTTTATTTATTATACTGAGTTAGTGCTTTTGAACTGTCTTAGACAATAGGATGGGTTATTACATATGAAACAAGTTTAAAAAGAAAAAAAAGTGATTGCCTTTAAAAGCAGAACCAAACATTCAGTCTGTTTCGTATCAGTCAATGTCTAGCTGAGGCTTTTTAAAGTTCATTTTTTTAAATGATGTTGTAAGCTTAATGATCTTTAAAAAGCAGCAGAAAGCAAAGCAGAGCGCTAGACTTGGAATGGAGAATTTAAAATCCTTAGTTAAGAAAGAGTTAATGGAAAATGAACTACATATATCACTTTGACAAGAATCTACATGCCCAATCTGTTCTTACTGAACTACAAGCAAAAGGCATCTGGGTTTTGTCCACTTAAAGCTTTTTGCAAATTGAAAGGAGTTTGGAGTGGGTGGGAGGGCATAATTGAGGTCACTGAACCCATTCCAAGCTGTGTCATTGAAATTTCCCAGTGCTTGTAGTATGTAGAAGGGTGGCTGGGCAAACACAGGCAAGAGAAAGCTGCAATACTTCTGAGCTTTTACAACAGTGGGCAATGACTATTAGGTACCACTACATTAAAAAAAATCTTCAACTTCATTACAGAAAAAGCAAAAACCCCTCCCTCATTGCCATTGCTTTCTGTTACTCGAGTGTGCACATGCGCACACCTTACACATACATACGCACACATACCCACACACACACCCATAAAATAGATAAAAGGCAAGTGAAATGATTAACTTTGCTTTGATCCAGAAAATAGAGTGGATGTAAGGATGCCAATTTAGCACGTCAGTTTGAACTGTGCATTTATCTGAAAAGTATTTAATTCACAGAGCAAGTCCTTTTAATAGTATCTTTTTCCGTTGCTCTGGCTTTGATTAAATTAAAATACCCCCCTGCCCCCCAAGACTTCCATTATTCTACTCAGCTCACCTCATTCTGGCTCTCCCTAAAGAGGCTTTGTCATTACTTACTCAGATTTACAGACTCCTGTTGCTGAATATTCACAGCCTGTGTCACAATTGTACCCTGTGGACAGGGTCTGACAATAAGTTATAGGATATGCTAATCAGGAATTGCCTTAGAACAGTACATTGATCAAAAATTATTTACACAGAACAGAAAAGGCTTTATCTTTCAATTGACTAGTACTAAAAGATTTTTATTTTAAAGTAGCCTCTGCTAATGCCCTCAAGGTGAACTTAGACTGGCCCTCTGGAGGGACTTCACTGCTTCAAAATAACAGACAAAAAGTGTATCTGTTTTTTTCTTTCTTTTGCACTGGCACAGACCTCTACATCAGTTGTGGAATAAGCTGCTGGCACTTAGGAACAAACTGAAAGCAAGGGGTTGGGGCACATACGCATTAACAGCATGGGGCAGAACTCTGCCATCCATATACATTTGCACATACATAGAGTTTAAATTTTTTTATGCCATGTATGCTACGTAATAACATCATGTAGAAAAAGCAATCAGTACAAATGGATTTGCATATAATTGCCAGTAAGCACAGCTAACAAATGGATTGACATGTTTTGTGGAACAGCTTTCTGAAAATGGAGCTGAGTCTGCAACTCCTTATTTCCAGGCAGAGTTCTTGCTCACCTTAGGTACCACTTGCAGGACCTGAACCTAACTGTTTAAGTAATACAGTTCTGATTTTCATTTGCTCCCCTGGGAAGGACTATTTTACAGACTTAGAGGCTGGACACTGCTTCTTGAAGAACTCTTCCGTAAATGACAATGCTGGCATTTACATTTGTATGTGAATGTGTGCGTGTGTCCTCACAGGCCAACATATTAAATTATTTTGTTTCAGAGAAGGCAAAAAGTTTCAGGTAATTTAAAACTTTTTACCTGGGTATAGTTTAATGGTAGGATGATTTGCCAGGAGTAAAGAGTTAAGGTTAAAATCCAGGAAAAAGTGCCGAAGATGTACGTTTGGCATGGCACTGCAAAGAGTAGTAAATCTTACGTTAGCAGATTAACTTCGGCATACGAAGAGTCCTTTATTGCAGTTCGTCAACACGAAATGAACATAAGCAGTAATATTTCTGCTTTCTGGATGACATCCAGTGAAAATGAATAGACACAACAATTTTTTTTCTCACATGGCACGGATGACTGGATCTATAGGGTAAGGGTCATTCAGTGAACAAGAGTTATTTCTATGTATAAATAGAGGGAATCAAGCCAGCTTTTCTTATTTTCACAGAGATTTAGTAAAACAAAACAAAAAGGGTAAATGCCCTTCAACTTTCCTGGTGACTCTTGACTTTAATACATGACAAACTCTTAACAGAATGAAGATCCAAGTGAGCATGAGGACAACTGACAGTACCTCTAACATTTTGGATAACTGGAGGGATGCATGGATGAAATTCCTTAAACTCAAGGTCGTGAGAAAACATTGGTAAAAGAAAGCAAACGTGAAGAGCAGAACGTGGGAAAGAGGTACCATGAGCCACATCAAATAGAATGGCCGAGGCCTATATACACCATAAAATGAAGCACGTTACCACCTGTGTTTCTGTTAGAAATGACTTCAACTCATTCTTCACCTCACCACTATCAAATTTTAGTATATATTTGAAATGCAAATACAAGTTTTAAGTCTCAAATAAAGAGCAGAAACAAATTACTTATTTCTAAGCTATCATGTTGGAGAAGCTATACTTATATGGAAGGGAAAGAACAGATATTCAAAATTTGGATGAGATCTTCACGGCGATATTGATTCTACAGACCGTTTTCCTTTTTTTTTTTCTCTGTGAAAGGCAACCTCAGCATATGTATTACTCTTTTTTTTTTTTTTTGTTCATTTCAGACTTTTTGGTACGTTTCTGATCTTTTTTGTTCTGATGAGGGAGCAGGAAAAGAACTGGAAGACACAAATAAAGCAGTGTCATGTCACTGACATTTAGATTCCTTATGAATTACCATAGAGCTCATAATTTGAAACTATTAGACTTTACTATGAATTTAAAGTGATGTTTACAAGTCCCACCAGAGAACTCAGACAGAAACAGGGATCTAAAGAAGAGGACATCTATTTACATAAGGCAGTCTGGGACAGCTTACATTGTGTTTTTCCACTGTAAGCTCCTAATTATGGAACAATCTCTCATGTATTTGATCCCTGGATGTATAGACAAGAAGTAACTGAAGTCATTACCAATGCTACACCTATGGTTTACTCAGTTAGGATATTTATTAACACTAGTCCATGGCACCATGGGATATGCACTGGTTCTGGATATTAAAATATCCTATTGAAAAGCACAAGTTTGACAGGTCCTTCAGCACTGGATCAGGAATATTGACTAAGTTACCAGGTGAAGTTACATGGGTATTCAGTCCTTTAATATGTCACTTCAGTGTCTGCAAGGGTTTAGCAGTGAAAATTCAGTGCTCCAGGTTTTAGTTCTGAAGTTTTTGAATTAAAGCAGAATCTCTACCAGGTGGCAATAGAGCCTGCTCACTTCCTTAAAAAGAAGACTGACACCAGACAGGATTTATTGGGCTTTGAATACTACTAAATGCCTGAAACTCTGAACACATGTGTCATGGTTTGGGAACATTTCTGAAACCCTAAATTTCGGCTTCTTTTATGAAACAGGTAAACATAAGCATTAAAAATGCAAGCTTCTATTAAAAACATGTTTTTTGGAAGTGGGTAATTATTTCATAAAGCCATTGAAAAACTGCCTCAAAGACAGGTGTTTCCAAAATCTGCCTCCAATTTTTGTAACTTCATTTTATTTCTATGATCAAAAGAACACGATGTGATTTTAAGGGTATTGCTCAAAATCAGGCAAATCTTGGAATCTTTATTATTCACTTTGGCAGCCTGGGTCAATTTGAACTAAGATTCAAACAAATGTCTTAGGAACTGAGATACAGTGCAAAGGAGAACAAATGTATATAGGTCTATGGGACTAGAAAGGATACTTCTGAAGATCATACAGTAATATATGTCTTAGTGAGGTCACTCTCTGTAGCCTTTGATAAGTCATGAGGACAGGGTAGGGTTCCTGATGACTGGACAAGGTAAATATCAAGAAAGGCAAGAGAGGGGATCTGGGGAACTACTGGCCGGCCATCCAGGCTCATATCAGACCCCTGTAAGTTATGGAGCAAATCATCTTGAAAGCCATTTGCAAGTACATGAAAGACAAGAAGATGACTGGGAATGGCCAGCATTGACTTACTGAGGGCAAATCATGCCTCATTAACCCAACTGCCTTCTACAATGACATGACCTACACTGTGGGTCAGGGGAGAGCTGTGGATGTTTTTCACCTTAAGTTTAGCAAGTGCTCTGTCAGTCTTCCATAGTATCCTTTTGGCCACAGTGGTGAGAGACAGATTGGTAAGTGGATAATACAGGGAGTGGAAAATTGGCTGGAGAGCTGGTCTCAAAGGATTGAATCAGCAGTACAAAGTCCAGCTGGCAGTCTGTCACTAGAGCTATCCCTCAGCCTCAGCTACTGATAGTAAGGCCAATATTGCCTAATGTCTCCACTAACAACCTGGACTATGGGTCGGATGGCACGTTCTGCAAATTTGTGGATGATACCAAGTTGGGGGAGTAGTCAATACACCAGCAAGCCAGGCTGCTATTCAGAGGAGTCTTAACAGGTTGGAAGAAATGGCCTGAGGGGAACATTATGAGCTTCAATGAAGGCAAACCCAAGTCCGATGTATAGGATAATCCCATACAACAGAACAGGCTTAAAACTGACTGACTAGA